ACACACACAAATAATTTATTTGTACACCTTTTTATTTATAGTTTTTACATATTATTAAATAAATAAATAATACAATATAACAAGTGTTGCAGAGTAAAAAAGTTAATTATTAAATAATATATATAATTATATAAAAATATTATATAGAAAAATTATTCCTCAAATCAAATTTCTTTATTTACGTATCTGACCATCAAGTTCATAGGATCCATCTCCTTGGCTCAACTAGGCATCCAAGCGAACCCACAAAGACTGAGCCCTCCTCCAACTGCAATAACTAAAAAGCGCCCTTATGGTCCCTTTTATGATTATTGAGTACAAATTTTCGAAACTTATAACCAAACACGAAAATTGTTTATTAGAGTAAATAAACCGGACACCCACCCATGGTGCAGCCACAGCTGCCCAGCATACCTATTTCAGATTGCTTGAAACCCTTACATGGTCTAAGCAGGATTGACCGCTAAGCTTGCTATATAGGAGTTCGAGGTATTCCTTATACTTCATCCCAACATACCCTGCTGAATTCTCCTCGTCCACCAGCTCTATTGCAGGCGTCACAACCGTGTCAAGCGATGGCCCATTTGCCAACGCAAGAGACATCCTTGCAACCTCACTTTTTATCACTGCTCGATGCACAGCACTCTTGTACTTCCCATTACTCAAAATCTGACCCCAAAATGCATAACTGAATTTCTCAACAATTTAACCACAAAATCTTGAAAATTTTGAGGGAAAATGGAATTCATGATTTACCTCAATGTGATCGCCAGTGTTAACCACAAGAGAGTTTGGAACAGGTTTCACGTTGACCCATTTCCCTTTGCGCAGCACCTGCAGCCCATCGACGCCATTTTGTATCAGAATTGTCAAGAGGCCATGATCGGTGTGAGAGGGTATGCCCATTGCTAGCTCCGGCTTTGGACACGGTGGGTAGAGGTTTGCAGCTAAGAGTTGAAACCCCGATTCAAGATTCATGGCGTTGTCTATATAAGATGCTTCCAATCCTAGGCTCACTGATACTCCTTTGAGCAATTCCCTCACCACTTGATGAATTCCTTTGCTGTACTCCATGGAAATGTCACTACATAAAAGAAAACGGGTTGCTATCACTTAAAAAAATCGGTTATCCTACAAATTGCAACTTAAAATTAAATAAAATAAAAAGAGTACAAGACCTGAAGTTGGGAGGTTTATTGGGTGAGTAAAACTCCGGGTGTACAAAGAATTTGATGAAATCTCTCCAGAAGACAACTTTACCATTGGAAAAGTTATCAACGCTGGTGCCATATCTTATTGGGTCCAGCACATGCTTCCCTTGAAATTCCTTCTTTTCCTCTTCTGGTAGATCGAAAAATTGTTGACAACAATCGAACATCTTCCCAATTAGACTCTCAGGAACTCCATGATTTATAACCTTTGATGTAAAACCAAAACCAAAATTATTACACATCTACATATGAATGATGATACAAAAAATGGGTTTTGCAATTCCACTATGTTTGGACAACAAACACTAATTATTGGATTATTATAGTCTTGGACAATGAGAAATGCACTTTTTT